CCCAAACCCAAACCCAAACCCTTATCAAAAGGTACTTAATTTTAACACTAGAAGGCTGAAATTTACTGCGTTTGATTCACCTTTTGGGGCTTTATTCATTCCTTTTAGTATAGGATCAAAATAGAACCTCCTTCTTGTAAAAAAGTGACCTTAGGAAAAATAATCTTTCTTATCAATCTATTCTTAAATATACAGTTAGAAGCCTTAAACCTATGCCATTTATCTTATTTTTTGAAAACTCTATCTATTCCTCACTATCTTAAATCAAAATACTTTTTAAATCGATGAGTGAAAAATCCTGACCCAAAAATGGGACCCAAAAAATTTTACCTAAGCTTTTTTTAAGATTACATATAAATAATATTAATCTTTACTTATTAGAAAATATTATCATTCTAATAATAATTGTTTTTTTCTTATATAATAAAATTTTGTCATATTATAAATACTTTTAATGATTTTTAATTTTAAGGCATGACTTTTATTGTAGTAATGAAATATATTTTAATAATGAATTTTTGTTTTGACAATGAGTTTTATTTTAATAATGAATTTTTGTTTTGACAATGACTTTTATTTTAGTAATGAATTTTTGTTTTGACAATGACTTCTATTTTAATAATGAATTTTTGTTTTGACAATGACTTTTATTTTAGTAATGATTTTTGCTTAGTCAAAGATCTGTATATTAGTTATGACTTTTGTTTAGACAAAGAATTGTATTGATATATAAATCCCCTATCCCCTATCCCCCATTGGGGACGGGGTAGTGCAACTCCTCAAAAATCAGTTTTTGCCCATGGCCCCGACCTTATTACTGTCATGAGTAATATAGACAGGAATGGACAGTCTTGACCAAACCCATTCCATTTACAACCCTCATTATATTATTCCCTTTCCAAAATACTAGTTACACACCTTCAGTTTTAGAAAAGGCATCTCAAATGAATAATAGTCATCTTCCCTCCTTCTTAAATTGAAGCCTTGAAATTTTTCGCTAAAATAAAAACTATTTTTAATTATTTTCGAAAAACATTTGAATGATAAGAAAATCTAAAAGCTAAAATAGTGTTCTTGGTCGCAGTAAAATTATTCATCAAAGAAATTTATTATTAAAAAAATAAACACTTTATTAAATTTATAGATGATGGAAGCCCAATGTTATAACCGAGATATCCTTTTTTTATTTGTATTCTTATACAAAATGAATATCAGGCAAGATCGACGTAATGTAAAAATAATGGCAAAATCTTGATATACATTTAAACATGCTTTAATGCTTCTTAATAAAATTTTTTTTAAGAACTTTCTAATTTGTATAGGTTTCTAATACAAAATTTATTATAAATTTAAAACTTTTAATGAGAGATACAATCGAAATTTGAAAAAGCAAAAGATTCTAGGAAAATAAAAATTTTTTTATTATTAATGTTAAGGTTATGGTTTTATATTCAGCAAAAATTTGGCAATTGAATTTATTTTAATAAAATGCAGGTGATTATTACATAATGCTGTTCAACTATAAAAAAACTTTGGTAGAAGATTTTATTAACCTAATAGTAGAAGAGACAAGAACAATGATTAAATAAATGAAAAGTGAGCAGTTGAACAACAAAATTAAGGAAAATTAAAGAAGAATTGATACCTTTAGACAAATTCAACTGTAAGTTAAAGGAACAAAAGTATCCATTGATAACACAATTGAAAAAATCTCAAGTAATATATAATAAAAAATTTAACTAATGGAGAAAGAATTAGAAAACTCAGAATCAAAAACTCAACTCACTTCGTTTGAAGATGATGTTAATATTTTATCGAAAAATTACGAGGATCATTCAGCTTTGAAGTACCAAAAGAATTAGAATATATACCAAAAGAATTAGAATATATATTGGTGACAATTAATTGTATTGATTCCATATAACAATAGTTGCAGGTAATTATAAAATGCCCATAATTCGTCTAAATCAATGAAACATTAGAAAAAACTAAAGTGGAAGAAAAAACTAAAGAAATTAAATAACTTTAAGTTCTTTCAAAAAAGGAGGAAGATACATAAGTAATAATAATCATATTACTAAATCAAAGGGAAAGTACAACTTAGTGATATCTGAAATAATTAATAAAGTTAAATCTTAAAACTCAATGTATTCGCTGAATGAATGTAATGGATTCAATTAAAATATAATTTTTGAAATGACAGCTGATTAAATTAATGAATTTACAGAAATTTTAAGTCAAACTGATAAATTTTAAGCTTTAAATGACAAATAATTTAATTTCAAAAAAGAGGATTTTTTTTTTTGATTCTCTTTAAGGTATTTCAAAAAATCTCGGTTAGTTGTTATTAAATATTTGATAACAAATGATAAGATAAATAAGATTATTAAGGAGTGGACTATCAATGATAATATAGGTAAATATAAAAAAGATGAAATTACACAGGAAGAGAATATTATTCCTAAATAAAAATAAATTGGAAATCTTAATGTATAATTGCAATAATTCAATTTATATCAGGAAATTTTTAAGGACACGTTAAAGTAATATGAATCAATATCTCAAACTATAAATAAGCTTTCTAATTAGTTTCAAAATGAAGAATTGCAGGAAGCGTTTATATATTTATATAATCTTGCATAGTTTAATGAATTGAAAACAAAGTTTGAGGAAGAATCATCCCTAAATAAGAAGATAATTACGTATGATTAAATCTAAATCGAACTAAAAAAGATCAAGGAAAATGAAGCAGAGCTGACATAACTTTAGTAAGTTTTGAAAAATAAATTAGCGGAAAGTGAAAAAATAATTAAGAAAATTTATAAGTGATAACTGAGTTGAAGAAACATGAAGACTGAATAATCTTATTAATTTAAGATTTAAAAAATGAAAATAAAGAATTAACTAGTAAATTGAAATTAATTGAGGAATAAAGTAATTATTAAATTCTATTAAAATATCTAATAGAAGCTTTATGTGATATATAACTTAAAGAGAAACAAACAGAATTAAAAATCAGTTAACAATCTAATCAGAAAAATGAAGAAATTGTTAAATAATTATAATTAAGTTTGGTAAAAGTAAAAGTTATATTCTAAGTAGGAATGGTAATTCTCATAATCATTAACATTTTCAACAACTCATAAGCATATTTGTTGTTCAGTAACTTAAAATGGAAAAGTTATTGAAACAACTTATGGTAGTTGATAATGTTGTATGTGTGATTAAATTATTCCTAAGAATGGTCTCATCTTATTTGCTTTTAAATTTATTGAAATATCTAATAATATGATTGGAATTGGTTTTAGAGATATTATGTAGAGTAGGAATTATGTAAATTGTTATGATATTGGACAAGGGTATATATTATTATATTAATAGTTCATAATAGAACATATAATATATTTTATAATGGTTAATGTTATAATCATGATTAATAAGTAAACATTGTTAAATCAGTAGCATTTAAATTTACAACTAATGATATAATAATAGTTGAAGTGGATATCAAAAAGAAGTATGTGAAATGGACAAGGTAATCCACAAATCAATCATTTGTATCAATTTCAATTTTTATTATTAGACTCTATCTATTGATACATCCAAAGATTTGTATCCATGTTTACATTTATGTGGTAAATGTAAAGTAGAAATATTAAATTAAATGTTCTAATGATAGAAAATTATAATTTATAAAAATATATTTTAGTTTATGAACAATATAAATTTATTTCAAATCTTGTTATGAGGATAAAAAGTTATTTAAAAATAACACTGATAAAACATTGAAATATAATATAATTATTTTTATAATCTCAATCTTGCACTTATAACTAGATTATATACTCATTAATTTTCATTTTAAAGTAAATATTATGCTCAGGAAGAACAGATTATTATGGAATATTATATGTATAATATATTAATTTTTAAATTTGCTTCTTGAAGATGTTCAAAAATAATTAATTATCTTTTACATACTTTAATTCTAATTTCCTATATTTTTAACTTTTAATTTATAGATGCTATTTAAGATTAAAAGAGTCGAATCAAATCATGGACACTAAAAAATTACAACTTTCTATTAGATTTAGTTCTTCTATGAGTTAAGAAATTATTTCCTTTTCTTCAATTTATAAACTAAATTTTTATTTTTAGAATTTTTAATATAATGTACCATTTAACCCTATAATTGCTTGATTGAATCTTTTTAAATCTATGATTAAAATTCTTTAAATCTTCTGTAATCTTTTCAATTTTTAATCTGGCTTTCTAATCATTCACTAATTTTTTTTCATGTTGCATTATTACTGTTTTAAATAGTCTTAACAATTGAATTAGTTTGCACAACTTGACTCTAATTTTAAAGTACATTTAAAATTCCAAGCTTAACATTCCTAATGACTTTTAAATTATTCTGTTTCAGGTGCGTCAGTGCACAAATCATTTCCAGTATCAATTTTACATTCAAATTCAGACTTCTTTAACTTGCATGAAGATAGCCATTATCTACATTCCAAAATGGTCTTTATTATTATATCATTGTAGCTCATCACTTAATTTTTAACACGAAGCGAATTGCTCAATGCCTCTACCCCTCTACTTATTCAAGCATTTCTAATTATGATATTTTAGCCATTCTTAACATTATTCTCTTGAAGTAAATAAGAGTAGAACATTTTAGCAGGTTTAAAATTCACATTCTTTTGTTTGTATATTCCAAAAACATGGAATATCTTATATATGATGTAAATTATTATTAATAAGAAAATTTACTACATTCAAGATATTTAATTATGCATCCTTAGACTTATTAGATACTTGTGATTATTATATCATTTATTGTACATCTAATATCCCAGTTTTAACAATCTTCATAAGAATTATATAACAAAGAAGCTGATTCACATCTTTTATGAATGCAACCCCTAGAGATTAAAAATTTATTCATTTAAAAATCTTAATCACATTTCAATTCGGAGAAATTTTGGCATTCTGTATTTATACAACTTTAGGTCTAATAATTGAATTTACATATATTCATTCTTTCTGAACATTTTAAATCTGTATCGTATTTAGGAAAATTTAACGTTAGACATTCTTCTTCAAAACATTCATCATTTTCAATCATATAATTTTTATTATTTTTATTTTTATACAACTT